CAGCAGCATATTAAATCCTGTATTAGTTTGTACACTACATTTAATTTTACAGTTCACATGGAGGCTATGATATTATTTTACTGTAAACTCATATTGATTATTGGTTTTTATTGTCAAATAATGTCTTTGAAAATATTCTGTATATCCCTATGAATGAGACAAGCGTATTAATTTTTAAAATAATTTTAATGAATATTTTTCTGTATCAATGAGTGAATAAACAAATAATGAACTTTTGTATTTTGATAAATAATTAAATAGAAAATATGATTCAGTCAGCATCTACAGATGTTGGATATGTGACAAATTTCACACCTGTAATGTAGGAGTGGAAATCTTACTTACCTGGCGATCATTTGTAATTAGTTATCGTTTTGTCATTTGGTGCTGTAATCAGTATGATCATTCTTATTTTTGGGCCTTTAATCAGATTGTCAGCTTCCTTGCAGATTTTCCAAAGATTGTTTTTTTATAAACTCTAAAGGTGTGGTTGTGATTTGATTTGAGAGGGAAAAAAATACAGTGCTATGTCTTGATCAGTGAAATACCAAATAGTACATAGATTGATTGAATAATTGATTGATTGGTGATTGCTTTACGCCACATAAGCACAAAAAGGCTACATCAAGGCGATATAATACACAAAAGAACATACAATAGATATTGGTCATATAAGCACAACCTAAAATCAGTATAATAGAGAACTTAAACATAGCTACAGCAAAACAATACTAAATAATTCTGCATCAAAGAATATTTGGATATATTGAAAGCAGGCATAAAGTATATAATCTGCTGATATGAAAATCATGACTTAACACTTGAAAATCAGCTGCTGTAATTCTGAGTAGATTTTACCCTACAGCATCATGTACAGTTCAGAAAAACATGACCCTAAACGATGACTAACACTAATTTGCATATAGAATTTTAATACACACGAAAGGTAACAAATGCAAGTCGTGTTTCACCTGTATACAAGCAAATCCATATAAATATTAAAAAGCATGAACAAAATATTTTCCCTGTTCCATGATGTAAAGATTTGAGGGGATATATTCAGCAGTTTTTATTTATGGTTGTGTGGGAGGAGGCTGGGTATGGGGAACCCCATCAAAAAATTTGCTGAATAGCGTTTTTGAAGAGGGATTTTCCTGCCTTAAGTGCTCCTAAGGTAGATATTTTTAATCCATGTGCCTTTTATGTTGTGTTTTTATGACTATTTGATTGACTTAGAATCATCCCTTTCCTAAAATCTGGTCAGTGCTTAGATGCCACGTGAACAATATAAGTTCATTGGAGTTTCCCCATTTCAACATATTTTCCAAAGGATGTAAATTTATTAATTTACTGTCACATAAGTTTGCTAGTGGGCAGCTGTCAGAAAAGATATGAGCGTATCATGTGCTATTGGCACAGCTGCTTATTTTTATTTGAACTCAGTTCATTTTATAAATGTTTCACATTTGCTATTAAGAATGAATGTTCTAAGTACACAAGCCATAACATTGTCTATTCCCTTGCAGTTGATACTTTAAAGAATTTCAAAATAAAAAAAAAATAGAATTAACAAGAGTTGATAAATTTTGACACCATCAAATTACTTTAACCAAATTATAATGACAAGCCAACTACTGTGGATTCATTTATTTTCGTGGATATCAATGTTCGTGGATTGAGGAACATTTGCATTTTTGTGGATATTTGATTTCGTGGTTTTGCAAATCTGTGCATACAAATCCTATAGGAAATTGATAATTCGTTGAACATTTGAATCTGTGGTTCACGTGTCCCCACGAAACCCACGAAAAATTGGTATCCAACAAAATAGTAATGAATTCACAGTATCTTACAGAGCTAACACACAGACATGCAATAAAGAACACCGTATTGACTAAATAACATTACTTGGTAAAGGTACAAATTATGTCATGTGACGTAAACATTTATTTCTCTATGCTTCTAATAATTCAAGACCATAGGAGGAAAATATTATGCATTAAGAACATTCAAAGCAGCCTAGAAGATAACACTTTATTTAATTAGAGTGCTTTATTTACCTTTGCAGTAAACCATTTGAAATTTTAATATATCAATACTTGGATGAAGGTGGGTTTCAATCTGTACATTACAAACTTGGATGCATTGCAAGGAAACAAATTTAAGAGTTACAATATAAAACCATCTGTTTGAAAAAGGAGGGAATGCTCACCTGCCTTGGTGATATTCCAAGCACAAGCACATACAGTGATATCATTTTTGACACATGTTTCCTATGCAGTTTTATGCTATTTTATCCTAGCAATAACTTGAAAAGAGGTTGATATATCCCCGTTTATCAGTATGACAAACCCAGAAATATTCTACCCCTGTGGAATACAGATTGATCTTTTAGCCATTCTTTGATAAGGGTATTAGGAAGATTAACTGTGCTGACAAAGCTAACCAAATATTGATTTTGTCGCCCACGCTTGCTGGTTTAGAGATAATTAAATCTAAGGCAGTAATTAGTTCTTAAAGGTTTGTCACCAACTGCTGTTCCTTTACAGTGTTCATCCTTTGGCTTATCAGAGGTGCAAACAGGAGCTGTTTTGCATAATATGAGCACTAATTATTATAAGAGAAAAATCGGCTTTGATTTAGAATTTTTACAAAAATTATTCTTAAAATATGCTCCTTGATACAAAATAAAACTGCATTGCTTCATGATATAAAAAGACACAATTTATTCTAGTAAAATCAGTTGTTCTTCATTTGATTTTTTTTTTTTTTTAATATAAGACAGAAAAGGGATGACAGGAATGGTAAAAAAATATAATAATCATCGGTAAATCAAATTTTATCTCCCAATTTGATAAAGTTTATCAAAAGGAAATAATCTGATGAAACAAAACAATATGTAACATCTGAAATAATTAAGGCAAACAAACGTGTTATATTTCAAAAGTTTATTAAACTCTCGTCACCATTTGTATTTTTTCCAAAATTCGCTGATGTATGAAACACATCTCAAAAACCTGTACAAATATAGTTCATATAGTGGGAACCAAATAATGCTTGAAAATAGAGAGAGAGAAAAAGTTAAATCGGAAGGAGTTAGATACTATGACATTTTTTGGCCTCAAAATGTGAATATTCCTAAAAAAAAACCTTATCTGTTTCTACTTTCTCATGACTTAAGTGTTTCTCTACTTATTGACTTATGACTGCTTTTTATCATAAGTTTCTTTCTTTCTACTTAATATCTTATGACTATTTTTGTCTCGCTTGACGGAGTCAAAAAGCGAGACATATATATGCTGTTTCCGGCGACGGCGGCGTCAACAATGTATTAGTTTGTGATTAGGTCTAGTTTATGGTGAACCACTAGTGATAAGTTAAAGATATTTGGTATGCAGTTGTATTAGTATTGGCACATCTCATTACCATGGAGATTATTAGGCCCCACCCCCTCAGTTATGGTCTATTGACTTTGAAATTTTTGCTTAGTTTTCATGTATTAGTTTGTGATTAGGTCAGTTAATGGGGAACCACCAGTGGTAAGTTAATGATATTTGGTATGCAGTTGTATAAGCATTGGCATATCTCATTTCCATGGAGATTATTTGACCCCGCCCCCTCAGTCATGGTCTATTGACTTTGAAATTTTTGCTTAGTTTTCATGTATTAGTTTGTGATTAGGTCAGTTTATGGGGAACCACTACTGGTAGGTCAATGATATTTGGTATGCAGTTGTATTAGCATTGGCACATCTCGTTTCCATGTAGATTGTTTGGCCATGTACCTTCAGTCATGATTCATTGACTTTGAATATTTGCAAAACTTACATGTAAAAGTGTTGCTATTTTAATTTCAACATTTGCATTATCGAAATAACCAAAAAGCAAGACATATCTCTGTGATAACAGTTTATTGATCATATGTGTCTCTCTTTCTACCAAATATTGTATGTCTACTCTTGATTGTTGATTTTCGGTTGCGTAACGTCCAGTGGCAAATATTTCTTGCATGTTTTGGACAAGATCATATGATCATATGTGTCTCTCTTTCTACTAAATATCTTTTGTGTCTATTTCTACTAAATATCTTATGTGTTTCTTTCTACTTAATATCTTGTGTGTCTTTTTTCACTTAAATATCTTATGTGTCTCTTTTCTCTATATATAAACTGTACATAATGTATTCAAAACTAAAAATGCAGTTTATGTTATACTGTACATAATTGTGAAGGTAAAAACACAACAACATTTTCAAAACAATCTAATAGGAAAATTTACTTTTAAGTCTAACAATCAAGTACAAATTATAACATACTATTTACAAATACGTAATTGGTCTTAGGTTCTTTGTACAAAATATGCATGTCTCTTTTGGAGAGTTGTCTCATTGGCAATCATACAACATCTTCTTATTTTTATATAAAGTAAAAGCAGAAGTCAAACAAATGTTTAAAATATGTGTCCTTTAATTGTGATATCTTATTTCTTTGGAAAAGAAAAAAATCACAAATTTTCTCAAATGTCATAATTTCTATCAAAAATTTATAGCGAAGTGATCTTTCCCTGGTTTGAATTTCTGTCATATGATAGCTCATTGCAATCATTAGTCCTTGATAAAAACCGGGGGAAAACTTATTCATGACTGTAAGATAAATGAATAATACTGTACTATAAAACATAAGAGTTGCAATAGGAAGATAAGAACTTCTTATGTTATAAGCACCACCATAAGACCCTTTTATACTTTCCAACTTTCAAGCAAATTCAGCCTTAATTTTGATGAAAATTATCATCGTACCTTGGACTATAGATAATTTTGTCAAGAGATGTTATGATGTTATTTTACACAACCGATTATCTTATATTGTTCAATGTTTCATAGTCTGTTTAAAGTGTAAACAGACTTAAAGATCAGAAGACAAACAGATTGGACATGTATTATAAAATATAACAAATTATTATAACTTTAAAAGTGTTGCACATAAATATTTCTATTTGCAGAGCTGGTGATATGATCATTCAGAAATCAAAGAGTAAAAAGAAAAAGAAAGGTAAAATTATTTAAAAAAAACCCAGTTGAAATTAAACAAAAGAAATGGAACTCTTTGTTAGAGAAGGTAAAAATGTCCAAGTTGGTAAATTTGAATTGTTTACATCTGTTTCTATGGGCTTTAAAAGTTTAATGAATGTGCCTAATTTGGGATTTTATGCATCTTATGTATGTGTTTTTACTTAATTTATGGTATGGAGCTTTGAGATATTTGTAAACTTTTAAATTATAGACAAATTTTCACAAAACAGTCGATTGTGGTAGGTGCAAATACATTTGGATTTTTTGGGCATAAGCATAAATTCCTAAGAAAGATAATAAATTGATCTTTTTAAAGCATTAATTTGCATCTCTGCCCCCGGCAACAGTTTTTGGAGAAAAAATCCCCATAACAGGCAATAATTTCATCGAAAAGAGAAAGTCAAGTACACCTTTTTATGTTTAGGCGTGTTTGAGTTGACTATTCTGTCTTGAAAACGTAGAAAAGAAAACTTTTGATACATCATCTCGCTTCAGATTCTATTATTTTATATATTTAAGCTCTAGGTTGATATAATAATATTAAAAATTTACAGTACTAAAAAATGAAATATATGGCTCAAATGAAATACCTTTGTAATGAGTCATAACAACAGAGTAGGTGTGTTCGAATAACAAAGGAGTAGGTTTAGATAACACCCTAAAACGGCCCCTGTTTCTAGCTTCAATTTCAAATTAGGATTTATTGACCAATATCACAATGAATCATAGCTAATACAATGACTAGATAGAAAATATGTCTTTTTGTTGAAAATTTATGTTCTTGCGTTCTATTCATGATGTCATAAATAGCACTCATTTTGATTTTCAACAAAAATTCAATGAAAACTGGTAAATTTCCAATGATTTTTTGGACAGGAAACATAGAGTGCATGCATCGACAAAAAAGCTTTTTTAACAAAATGTTTGTTATCACATTTTACATATCTGACTTGAATATTAAGTTTGTTGTTGCCTGCGCTCTATGTTTCCTAGGCCTTAATTTGGTTGAAATCTGGACGATTTGGTCACGTTTCACAAAAATCTCTATTTTTGACCTATTTGGGATGTAAAAAAAAACGCTTTAAAACTAAAACTTTGACTAAAAAAGTTCTATTCAACTTTCTCACATGTCTTTTCATCACTTTAAAACATTTATTATCTTGAAACATTAAACTTTATAATCGGGGCCAAATATGACCCATACCGAACTTACTCCTTTTTACTAAAAGTACTTGACGAGAGACTTTTCAAGTGGATCTTTAGAATGTATAACTTCAAAAAAACATCATTTTTTGTGTGTGTTATCTAGGGTAAAAAGTCTACAACCTCTGAAAATTTTTAGTCTGCCCTTCCACGAAATATTTAATTAGAATTTTTTTAAATATTTTTGAACTTTCGAAAATTCCCCCTGACAACCAATCAGACAATAGTTTTAAGTTGGCCAAATGCATAAAAGTACATTAAATGATGCTAAGGAGCTAGTAGATACATTTGTCTTATAAAATACAACTGGCATACAAGGATCGTAATGATGCTATGTGGAAAAATTTATCGGTTTTCAAGAGCTAAATTGACAGCGCATCATCACTACGATGGCTTCCATTTTTATGATTATAAAAATTAGGTGGTGTAATGGGTAGATAATTTTGACGAAGTAGAATCCTGACTGTAACGTTATGGTAAAATGGTTGATGTACAATTGGTTTAGGTAAATAATTGTCATTAAATACAATGTTTTCTCTAGGAATATGGAATAAAACAATTACTCTCTTTTGATTTGGTAAATATTTACCTCATCAAAATACAATAATTGTATAGTATTCCATGTATTTGGTTCACTGTGTCATCCAGTATTTTTCAATGTTTTCTAGCAAGCATTGATGGCTGATTAAAATGTTTTTGCTTTACCCTAACTGGCCCCAGTGCACATGTTTCATCAAATAAAAATAAATACACATGTTTCATCAAATAAAATAAATACACATGTTTCATCAAATAAATAAAATACACATTGTTTCATCAAATAAATAAAATACACATGTTTCATCAATAAATTAAAACAATAAAAATTAATGATCATGACTGAAAGAAATTTCCATAGAACAACATTTTATGTTCTCCTTATTCATATTAAGGTAGATCCAGGGTCTAAATTCATTTTTGATTGTAGATGGCTGCAAATGGTTGGTCCAAATTTTTATTGAAGTTTAAACTAGCAAATTTGATGCAGAAATTGAATTTATTTGTGAGGTTTTTCCTTTAAATGGGGAAAATAGGATTTTATCTTTTGGTAACATCTTTTTTAACATTTATATATAAACTGAAAATGGTTTCATAATTTCAAAATTTTAAAACTTTGTTATATCAGGGAAGAGAACTCAGAAAATGTATCTTAAAAAGGAATGTAGAGTAAATTATCCTATTTTGTTATGTAGCAAGAAAATAAGCACTGGAATCCAAATTTTTATTTTTATTTTCTGAAAGCATATTATAAGAGCTGTCTTCTGTTTTATTTTGAAATTCTATCATTTAGTTTTCTTTCTTTTCACACATAAGTGCCTTTTACATGTACAATACTGTATAATGCTTGCAATTTTGCACATGCGGTAGCTTTAAGAAATGCTCTGTGGCCCATACTTTTTATAATATTTTTGAAAATAGCACGATTTAAACTACATTTTGGCAGAGTATCAAAAATTTCTACCATTTTGAATAAAGACCCTCCATTTATCAAGAGTGTAGGTAAGTTTTTTATGAAGATAATATATTTGTTTATGTTTATATATCTATATATATTTATGATTCAAAAAGGATGAATTTCATATTGCTTAACTTGTTCTAAGATACAGGTTGTGGAAACTTCATGATTATTATATTATAATCACAATATTTCTTGTTAAATAAGGATTATAAAAACAAAAGTGAATTGGTCATACTTGTTCATCGATATAGTTTGCATGAATGACAGTTTATAGATAGTAAACATTTCTTCTCCTAGATTAAACATTATTAATATTTATACCATGAACAAAAAATAATTGAATAATATTAAATTAATAAATCCAACTCAGTGTGTCGTGTCGGTATAGTACAAAGCAGGGGTCATATTTATATCTCATTTAAATGTTCTTTGACCGATTTGCTTGTAATAATTGCCACTGGACGTTAAGCAACAATTCAGCATCATCGTATACTGCAAATTCAGAAATTATTGCAAATAATGCAACTAAGTGAGTATCACATTCTGATATCTGATATATACATCTGTATGCAATATTTCCTGAAACGCAATAATTAATTTTGCATTTTTGTCCTTCAATAATCGCAATAAAAAATGCACGCAATAATTTCTGAATTTACAGTAACTATTAATGTACAAGTCCAATAAAGTACTTCCACGCTGGAGCTGTTCCAGTATGGAATGTGACAAAAAAAGTTTCGTGTTGAGGCAAATGGTACAAGTATGTTTTAAAATGTCTGTAAAAAAATATCTTTAGTATGTAAGAAATTATTTTAAATTTCATAATTCTTATTCTTTTTTTCAATGAATAGGCAAACTTCCCAAGAATTTAGATGCTGAGATAGACCCAGAGAGGTGGTTACCAAGGAGAGAAAGATCATATTACAGAGGAAAAAAGAAGGATAAAAGGAGAGATATAGGTAAACTATTCAATTTATATTGATTTATCACTCTATTTCCTTTTGTGTTTCATGCCTATTCGTGGAGTGTTTAACACAATCGTACAATTGACAGTAGGGTGATGATATTATTCTGTTCATTTTTCTTGTCAAAGTTGTGGTAGTTGCAAAGCTAACAGCTGTATATTTTCTCATGACATATGCGTAGTTTTTTAGCAATGTGACATGCTGCAAACTTAATTATTACATCTCATAGAAATGATAGTTTTAATCAGGAAGTATAAAGAAGTAACCAGTTGGCTAAATGTAAGATTTTGTGAAATATGTCTTTTATTAGTAAGCTTATAAACTTTTCTGCATTGATTTATAGCTTTCCAGATCATTTGCTTGGTTTTTCTCAACTGCCAGTCATATTTGTTTGTGTGATAAACAAATTTCTTTTTCCTTTATGTTTCAAGGAGTATTTATTTACTTGCATGGTACCAAAATACATCAGTTCAAGTTGCTTTGATCTTTGATACAGTTGCACGTCCCTGAATCTTTGAAACCCATGATAATAGAGGTTCAATACTAAAATTTCAAATATAAAAGTTGTCAAACTTGTTTTTCACAGAATCAGATATGGTGAATATAGATTATTGTTTTTATTACATATGATTATTCATCACTATTATTACAGGAAAAGGAACACAAGGAGCGTCAGGTCCTGCTGGTGACATGTAAGTATGACATGTGACTATCAGTCATTTAAAAATAAAATAAATTAGTTAGTTAAAGATATATATATATGCTTCAGTGCTTTCATTAGCTTTTTAAAAATACTATTTTTTATTATTTTTCTAGACAGAATTGATTTTTTTGTGAGCAATTGTTTTGTATTTATATGTACTCTTACCTTCTACATTAGATTTCCGAGATCAAATTTTATGAAACACAAAAATAACTGTGCTTATGAATACATTAGTTATTTGGCACACAAGCTTTTAAAGTATAGTATTGTTATTGTTATACTGTATGACAACTTAAAAGATGTTGTTTAATAAAAGAAAATGATCTGATATCAGTAAACTTTCCATGTCATAAATATCTATCCACTTTAATATCATTTCAAACATGAGTTTTCATTCTCAACATATTACAACACCACAATGTAGAAGACATCAACACACAAGATCATGATGTACCGAAAAATTGTAGAGGATTTATGCTTCGTATGAGTTAATTTATACAGTTTCTTAACTTAAATGCAGCAGCACACCGAGGGGCCTGATGGGTTATTTTCGTTCTTCGTGATCGGTGCATTTTCGCTATCGTGATCCGTTTTTCTACAGATTTTTTTTTTTTTATATTTTCGTGATCCGTGATCATGGAAATTTTTCTGTGAATCATGATTGACAAAAAAATCAACTTGTGAATCGTGATGAGACCCCCCCCCCCCCCCCCCCCCGCATCAGGCCCCTCCACACTTAATGATTAATTTTCATAAAATATTTGTATTTGTCAGACACAGGAATTTTTTTATGTGTATGCTAAACTTTTTTTTGCTTTTCAGAGACAACAGCAAGCTTGCCACTGGTGGAGGATCAGGTAGTGAAGCAAACTCACCCCGTCCTGGTCAGCAAACCTCCCCTCCTGGTGCTGCCCAGCCCACTGCACAGGGCCCAAGGCAACAAAAACCTGTACAGGCAAACAAGAAAAAGAAGAAGAAGGGTGGTGGAAAGTGGTAGTGGAGTACATGCAATAAGAAAGGACATTACTATCCTTTATTCAACAACACTGTTAAATGTCTGACATATGTCATTAAGTGAATAATGTATTGTATTGTGTCAGTTAAAATATCGAATAAATTATTGGTCAGTTTTTGGTTATTAAGATTGTGTCTCATTCCTGAATCAGTCACAACCACAACTGTCACAGATTGTAGTCATTTCTTTCCAGCATTTATTTCCAAGTCCTCAGGATATATGATTTTATTTACTTCAAATTTATGGAAGTTATTCAGTGATATATCCCTGTCAAAAATGTCTTTTTTGTGTATTACACTATTACTTTCATGAAGTGATGGTCCTTGTGTGTCTAAAAAAATGATTATGTTGACTGAACTGAAATCTATACTTCTAGATCACAATATTGTGTTTGGGGTTTTTTCTTACCTGTGACAAATGTTATCTTGTTTTTGTCTTGTCTGTGATGATTGCTGCAGAATTCGATACTTAGGGATGCAAGTCAAGCAACAGCAGTTTAACTATTGGTTTAAAACTTTATATAAGGTAATAGAGCTTGCTTATCCTTAATTCCATATCATGGATAATGATACCTAATGGTCTGAAATTTCTGTCTGGCATATGGTTCATTTATTTTAAAAGTTTTTCATAGGTTACATGTTAAATTTTGTGATAAGGTCATTTATCTTTATACCTTTTATGTTGGTTCTAGCACACAAAGTACTCCTACCTTTAATACCCAGGTTTTTTAACAGAAATCTAGTTATTGGTTTTTGGGTTTTAAGAGGCGATCAGGCAAGAGGATGGGTAGGCACATTAACTTGTTTCCAAGCAATATCTTATGAACCATTCAACTAATGCTTTTGTCAAAGTTTAGTATCTTCTTTTTAGTGATGAAAATGTCTTCTTTTTAGTGACGAAAATGGGGGTCAAGTTCACTATTTATGATTTTCACTTTTCTGTTCATGAGTTATGGTCCTTGATTGATTGAAAAATGGCACTTAATGTCTTTTCCATGCAATAAAATGAGAACTGTTCAACCAATGCTTTTCAAACTTTAATATGATGTTACTAATGACAAAATGGAGGTCAAATTCAATATAGATAATTTTAGTTTTTGTCATTCAGGAATAATGCTCCTAGAATAATTGCAAAATGGCATATTATGTTGTTTCCATGCAATAACTTGAGAACTGTTTAAACAATGCTTTTCAAATTTAATTATGTCGTTACTGAATTACAAAATGGAGACCAAGTTTGATACTGACAATTTTCACTGTTGTTACGAGAAGTTGTGGCCCATTCATGTCTTTAACAATGACCCTAATAAATGTAAAAAAAACCCAGTTTGCTGTTATTTTGACAAACTGTTGTTTACAGTACTGTATTAAGGATGTCCATCATCAACAGAGTTGTTTTTTACCTATACATTACAACAGGATCTGCTTACCCTTCAGGAGCACCTGAGATTGACCCCAGTTTTTGGTGCAGTTTGAGTTGATCCGTCTAAAGTTTTCTTTGTAGTGTTTTGTGAATTTGTTTGTCATTTCATCGTCTTTTGTGTTTGGCCATTGTGTTGTCAGTTTCTCTCGACTTTAAAGTTTTTTTTTTAATGAGTTTTGAAACTAGGTATCCTCCACCACTTTTTTGTTAAGTAAGTACCAGTAATAGACAATTACAAATTTTGAACAAGTTTTATTAAAACATGACAAAAATGGAATGACTAGACATGAGGTTACTCACATGTAAACTGTATAACAATTGGATTTCATAGTAACAACAAAACATCAATGGGACCAACATGATCAATATAGTGCTGTACATTTATGTGGCACATACTTTTAAAAGATGTCAATGCCTAGTGTTTGCTGTTCAAGTTTGAAAGTTTGGCCCTAAATCTCACAGGTTCAATCATTTTAAGTGTATATCTCAAGTTTGCTCCAACTCTCATGCATTCAATCTTTTACATATAAATTGTGTTCTCTCTTGTACTACAATTCAGAATGTTTTTGTTTTTGGTTTGCTATTTTTTAAGTGTGCAACAGATAACTTCTGTTATGCAACAGGTATTAACTTTTAACCAGCACTTTTTATAAGATTTAAATCTGTGTCTAGACTCTCAACGTTTAATTGGTGGTCAGATTAATTATATTATCTTACAAATCTCCTCAATCAACCTTTTTTTTTTGGCTTTACAGTAATTTAATATCTGTTTTTGCTACAATTTTGAACATGAGCTTACAATTTTTCCTAATTATAAACCTTTGACATTTTCTATATATCAACAAATTTTTTGCTAGTAATAAAATGATTAGAAAGGATTTTCATGATTTAAACTAAATTCACATTTTTTTGTGTCTGTGAGATAAGATGTTTATTAGAGTTTAAGCATTTCGGCAACACTGGATTTTAAAAAGGTCAACACTAAAATTTATCCTGATGGTACAATGTCTATATAAACACAAAGATGTATAAAAATAAAAATTCTGGTGCCAACATTGATCATGTGGGTAGTCAATCTTTAGTCACATCTGACTAATAACAGTTTTCAAACTTTCTATAAAGTCCTTGCATATATAGGTTTTGAACACAACCATTGGAGTCTGTCGACAAAGCACCTTCCACAGGTCAACCTTTCTTGATTAGGCAGTTGTTTTCCAGAAATTCAGTAGCCATTGTTCAGGTAAAGTCTGCTGTGGGTGATACCAGTACTGGAGATGACAGATTACCAAAATTATAGAAGGAGAATCCAGCAGGAACTGAACATGATCGACAAGGTGATACAGGAGTCGGTGTTTTGCATAGAACTTCTTTTTCAAAGGTCAACAACTGCTGCATAAAACTTAAATTAGGTGAAATCTCATGTTTCCTGGATTTGACATACTCAAAAGCTGTATTAAGATCTATTTTTTCGTTGTACATGATGTATGCCAAACAAATAGTAGCTGATCGACTTATACCAGCATGACAGTGAACCATCGTCTTTCCTCCACGGTATTTTTCATTGTCTGAAAAGATAGATATTTGCATATTAAATTTAATGTCCTCTTCATATGTTCTTTATCCTGTCTCTTGAAAAAAGTTATGCAGCAAATGAAAATAATAAATGCTTTTCACAATTGATAAAAATTGTGCTGTTGTCTAATAAATCTCATTGTCATTCAAAGGCTTGTTGATAAAATGATCTGTATCATTTTTTTGGTAGTTTAATACAATTGGTATCTAATCTCCAGTCGTCCTGAACATGCATGAAAAATTTGCCACTGGAGGTTAAGCAACCAATCAATCATCCTTATCTCCAGTTATTGGTGGGATCCTCCATTTTTATTTTTTTTAAATCTTACTCTTTATACTCAGTTCCCCCATGGGCAGGTTTAAGCTCTCCCTTCACAGGAAAAAATCTGCCAGTTTTAACAATATGTAACCACAAGAAGTTGTTTATTACTTAAAAAAATCTGATAATTGCCAAAGCACTATTTATGATCATTTATACAAGTTCACTGAGCTATCCTGCATGTTTAAGTTCCTTGATGATCTAATCTCCAGATGATCTAATTGCAATAAATTTAAACTTTTATAAACATCAGTACAGCAACTAAATGACAAAAGGCTCCCAAAACTGGACAAAAGACAAGGTTTTCTATTACATGTATACATGTACATACCAATAAATTGGATCGCCTCTCTAAACCACTTGGATAAATCTGTCGATCCATCGTCTTCCACAGCAATAGTCTTATATCGGAAGTCACTGCAGAAATGGTTTTGGCACGTGTTGGAGACATTCAAGATGGCAGTAATTCCTAGATTTATCATTTCTTCTTTACATGAGGCATTAGCTGAGTTTCCGATATATAAATAGTCCTTTAGCATTATTGGCTCAGACTGAAAATTAAAAATTTTACATACATTAAAGCAAAGCATTCACATGTTTCTCAATGTTTTTAAAAGACTTGTTTTTACTTTTTTTGTGTGCTTTTCTTTCAATCGTTTTGTGAAAACATAATTTGATAAGGACATCCATTATGTGCTCGTATGCCAAAGCTTGCTTGCAAGATTGACATTATTTTATAATTAACATTAATGACAATGATATTGATTGAACAAATTTAGGATGAAAATAATTTTTAATTCTTTCGTGAATTGAACTTTATTTTTAAGTTGTGTTTTCGATGGAAGCATGTTTTGATGGAAAGATGAACTCCCCATTACCTGTGTGGAGTCTGTTCTGTACAAGGATCGTCTGCAGGCTTTGTCCATCTCTACCGTTGTATCGTGTACCTGGATATACTCGGATGTTTGGCATAGATGTGGATATGTCTTTTGGAATTCTTTAAAACTACCTGAAGTTTAAAGCAACATACATTTTAATACGGCAAACAAAATAGTTTAAATTTATGTTATTTAACTATAAACTTGAGGCATATTTTTTTCTCGTCCTGAAATGCATCAAATATTTGCCACTGGGCGTTAAGCAACCAACAATCAATCAATCAATCATATTTTTTCCATTTTCTGAGTTTATTCGATTCATAAATTATCACTTACTTAAAGCCCAGTAGCAAGTTGGCGCATTTCACATATTTTTAACAATACAAATACGATACGTTTAATCCGAGACGTATAATATACATGTATCAAATTGAGAAAGGAAATGGGGAATGTGTCAAAGAGACAACAACCCGACCATAGAACAGACAACAGCAGAAGGTCACCAACAGGTCTTCAATGCAGCGAGAAATTCCCGCACCCGGAGGCGTCCTTCAGCTGGCCCCTAAACAAATATATATACTAGTTCAGTGATAACGCACGCCATACTAAACTCCAAATTGTACACAAGAAACTAAAATTAAAAATAATACAAGACTAACAAAGGCTAGAGGCTCCTGACTTGGGACAGGCGCAAAAATGCGGCGGGGTTAAACATGTTTATGAGATCTCAACCCTCCCCCTATACCTCTAGCCAATGTAGAATATATATACGTCTCTGGTTTAATAAGTACATGCAGATCTTTAAACGCAATATTTCTCTTTTTATATTAAAATAGTTTTCTCTTTGTTATGAGAGAAGATGATTTACTTATAATTTTGAAGCAATGTTTTTCGTTTGACATCAAAGATGAGAATGGAATCCAGGATGTAGGTTACACCGAGGGCCATAACGCCTATATTTACGGAAATGACCAATATTTCAATCGAAAATGTGAAATATTAGGTTACACCTGTATTAATGAAATGACAGGTATTTCACGAAAATATTTATTTTATAACATGTATACACCACCCGGTCATAAATATATAAAAATAACATACATGTAGGTGAACAACCTCTAATCACGATTGTTTGTAAACAAAACATAAAAATCGTGTATAACTTGTGGGATTGTCATAAATAAGCGGTTTGCCGCGAATTACTATGACTTTGTTGCATCTGGAACAGAGTCAATTAATTTCCTGTCATTTTGTTATGAATGAAATCAGCACCACAACTGATTGATCTTGGCTACGATTAAATCATAGCCCATCGATCTCTTTTCCCACACTCCGGCCATTTTCATTCATGTTCAAAGGATAGGTTTTTCCTACAAAATGTAATTATTTGATTGTCAAAGTATCGACCGATCACCAAGCAAAAAAATACTCAACGGCAGTTATTTGTCCTTGGAACAATTTTATTAATCGATGCGCAGCAGAAAAATCAATGTATAATGTCTTTTTGAGGCAATTCTGTGCGTGGGTGTCTATATAAGGTATTAACATGTAACTGTTCCGGGTTTTAATGAAATTATCCATTGTTATAATCCCTTATATACAGGACTTAAAAGGCTTTGTTTTTACAATAACTTTGCGATCTACATATGGTGGTCAAAAAGGAGTGGTGTCCAGATATAAGCCTTGTAAATTAATTGTCTGTTAACTGGTTCAACTTTTTATTTAAATTTCTAACGATAAGATTTACTTGTAAAAGTCCTTGGATTTAATATGGAAAAAATACGGTTTTGATAGACAATATGCCTTTAAATAATAATTGAATTGAACAAATACCCGCGAAAATAAAATGCTTTACTCTTGATCACTTGAATGAAACAATGAGGTACACACGTAGTCCGTTTTCAGAAACGCTTGTACTTCAGAAAATTATTGAATTCATTTCGTTCATAATGCAAGAACGAATGACATTATAAAACTTGGACCAATACATATCATTTATTAGTCCCAGTTCAAAAATTAATATTAATTTATATTGTTTGTCATGTTGGTTATACGATAACAGTTAAAGTTCTCACAAACAAGCCTCTGGGCGATAGAAAACCCTCGAAATGCAGATGAACATGAAAAATGTAGAAATTTTAAGTACACATTCTTTGTTAGTTTTATACATTTTAAGAGTTAGTACTAATTTCCTTTGAATTTATTTCGCACCTGGACAACATTCGTACCGCATCTTTGCGAGTACTTTGTGGTTCTAACGGTATTTGCTGTGTCCATGAGAGTATATACTTCCATGCAATGTCTTACTTTATAAAATTCAAAAAATAAGTTTTTGTCTTACTTTATAAAATTCAAATATAAGTTTTGTTAAATTTTAGAAAGTTTTGTGTATTTATCAAATGGACTGATTTAGACAATTGAGCTTAAAAAACAAAATTCTGTTGAAAATACGGTCGTCATCGCAAGCACTGCTTGATATTTCGATTGTGAAAATTGTTGAAAACTCGGTATACATGGTAAAGCATGTCCATCATGTCCATGCAGTTATAACACCAGACGAAATAATCATATGGGCATACACACTTAGACATGAGATCTGTATTTGATCCCTATATATTTCAATTAAGTATAATTTATAAAGGTATTGAAAATAACGTCAATATTATTTTTGAAAAATATGAAATTTCATTTAATAAGATATGTTACGTTGAAATTTCAAAGACGGCATCGAAGTGACAGCGTGACATATAATCGTCTTGTTTAAAATGAATTTACATACAACGTATTGTATTTTTTAGATATATGTGCATCTGTGCGAGGATCTATATTACTCTTAAACATACGTCCTTGATTTGTGGTTAATAAAGTTTTCCCTTTTGTGTGATGCATAGTTAAAAATATCTAGTTTGTGGTTACTCCTACTATATAGGAAATTCTCACAAAAAACCTTGACTGTTGTATCATATACTTTTTTAAGTTTTCATTTCCCGTGCAAGTATATTTATCATCAAAATAATTAAAGAATAGAAAAGTAAAATTTATTTTTACAAGGAAAAGGCAAATACGACAAAAATAAGAAAATAACCCTGCTGTTGAATTGGCAATAAGACGAGTTGGGTTAATTGCCATTCCCGTCTTAGTACATTTTGCTTATTCGTAAGAACGGTATTATGGATAAGTTTCCACGTCATAAGTAGCCTATGCCTTAAGAGGATAATATGAATTAGGGTTACAATTTCGCATTTAGACGCGATAACTTTAGTGAAATAGGGGAATTATGTTGTCAGTGCCAATTACGAGAGGGGAATTATTTTGTCAAATTAACCTGCTCTTTAACGTTATTAGATCGTGCGCTTTGATAAAGGGGCTTCCAAAATATACGTTTTTTTTTATATTATCTGTTTTAATTTAAAATTATTGGTAAGAGATACAACCACCAAGCATTTATAATGAAAATTCAAAACCAGAAACGATAAAAACAGAAAATTGTCGTCCATTGTTTTAACTGAAAATTATTTTTTATTAAGATGATGATCATGTCATCGCCTATCATGTTATCTTGATGGGTTTATTCATGTTTTTATTTTATTCAACATCCATCATGTCCATTGGCTACAATGATCTTCTGTTAAGCACGTGTTTTATCCTTTAAACTTGCTGTATATTCCATATAGTTGGCGGTTGTATCTTTTACCAGTTCTTTTATTTCATAAAGTACTTTTCAGCATGAAAATATCGGCGATCAAGCATTAGTTTTACTTTGCTTTCATACACTTACTACTGACTGATAACAAGACCACAGTATAATGTGAAAACGCTATTTTAAACAATTTTTTACAAGCGATCATTTTTTTTCTAATTTATTACAACTTTGAGAAAAGAAGATGGAAACAGCGAAAATGAAAGACGAGTGGTGAAAGTGGAATTTATAATTAAATTATCGAAAAATCACGAAAATCAGATTGCTTGGTTAAATTTTCTCAAGTTAAAGCGTATATTAAGAAAAGTAAGACCAGGAACATATATATTAGATATACTGTTCCCAGGTAAGATTAAATTTGTCCTACTATAAACGACAGTATGTGCTGCGTTGATTGCTTTATCCAATTATTTTGGTCCTCTCCATGTACACAGCAAAAAACATACTGGAAGTTTAAAATGCATGAGTAATGAATAAACTGTTAAAGTTTGTTCTTTAAAAAATATGTATCGGACATGCTTTCACAACCTGTATTAAACATTTACAATTGTAGATTTCCGAAGTTTTTTCAGTCCTCTCTTTGCACGTTTCTGAATAATGATTCATAATGTATATGATAACAATTTATAACAAATCTGTCTGCACTGAAATACTTAGGTAATTAATTTATATTATTATTAAAATGTCCAAATGCTGGACGAAATTGATAATTGGTATGCAGCTACTGGTATAACTTGGTAATTGTTACTCATTTTATGATCCTGTCTAGATTACGTTACATTGCATCGCCTGTCTAGCTTATGCCACTCATATATGTTGTACATAAAAGGGCCCTTATTTGAAAGAACAAATACTCTCATTCATTCATCTCTATTTTTTCATATTCTGACTTTTAAATTTTATACATGTATAAAAATTGTGTTAACAGACACGATTTTTCCCACGCATTTTGGCCATTCAAGATTAATTGTTTATATTTCCTTATCAATGTAGCCGGTATTGTTAACTCTTAACAGATGAACACAGGATAATGTCCAAGAAAAGCCAGATGAACAACCTTCATTGAAAGTGTCAAAGTCGAAAGGCATTCTTATCAAATTACTATTGAACTTATTTCCGGTAATAAAATATTTAAATGGTGACAGCTAATTTAATTAACATATTCGGGTAGAAACTGATTATGTTGCTTCCGCAGGAAACAGATGATTTCCCTGTGGGAATTTGTTTATATCGCATTAATAATAGGGAAATAAATAATGAATACTAAGTGTAATTAAATATTAATGATATTTGCATTTTATGATTTGTTGTACAATATTATCACACATTATTCTGTATGTTAATCATAGATGATGTTCTGTAAGTAAACTTTAATCAACCTTTGTCCCAGCTTTATTAAATATAGCAAGAAATATGCAATTCCTTGAATATAGAAAAGGCCTCCTGGGTGAAATATATTATGATTTAACCAAATTACAATTGCTTCCTGTAATGTTTTAATTTGATTATATTTAGAAAATAAATGCTTCCTTTATTTGGTGAGGTAATTAAATCACGAAATTCAAGTTCTTATAATTTGGGGAAAATGCTTGAAATATATTGGTCTCAGATTACTCCCTTTTGGGATTCTTTCTGGTTTGGCAGAGGCGTCCAAAATAGAAAGTCGCTCTGGACTTAGTCCCGCAGATATAATAGAAAATAGAAAATATTTTCTTTTCTAAATCTGTAAATCATAATTATTATTTCTCGGTGGAGAAGAAGATTTCCGTTTTTAAGCAACTTTTGGTGTAATTTTGCCCGTTTGTACAATCAGAGACATTTAATACATATTGTATAATAATGTATTATATGTCTCTAGTAGAATATATATTTTAACCTAAAAAAAGGTTCTGCATAAAAAAACAGCGGTTAAAACGCTAAAATATGTGCAACTGCCAGTACCTTTACGACATGTCAAACTGAAAAAAATTAACATATTCGGGTAGAAATATATCGTAGTATATATCGGAGCAGTGTACATACTTGTTCATACATCTGGAGAAAAACCGCTAGGGAGCATCTTTAAATTTACATGTAAAACGTTTTAAAAGAAAAAGGCGTAGTTTTATCTTAGCAAAATTGTAAACGAGATAAGAGGCTAATTAAACAACTTACTTTGAAGTATGAAACAGTTTTTGCTGTTTACTAGTTTACACATGGACGTCCAAACAATATACATATCAGACATCTCATCACCGCTCTGTATGTATGTTCCGTCGTCGTACATGTAAATTCTACCAATTTGTCCAGTTTTTAATTTATTTTGTATTTCACAACCAAGCATCGATTCAAGACGAATTGTTCCACCGTTTCTGACTCTTCTTTTCAAGATTGGAGGACAGTACACATTGCAAGCACCAATAATGTGATCTTCGTTGTAGGATAAATATGATCTCGTATCAATTAATAAAATGTTGTCTGTAGATTCGGATAAATGCTGTTCTAGATTGTTGAAAAATGTAAAGCTATTTATGAAATTCATTTTCATGACGTTCTCCTTGCTCTTCTAAAGTTGTAACTGAGGTTTCATTCATAAACTACTCGTAAAATTTATGAATGGGATTATCAACAACCATTACAACTTCCGGTGAATTGATTAGACGATATCCAATCGTGATAAAGCCAAGCCTGAACAAGGACCGCCTATTAAATATATTATCATCGTCATATTGATTAAATTTATTGATTGGTGTGGGAAATTATTAATAAAACCATGTCAATAACGGCATGTGTGAAACACAGAGATGTGTAGAATTTAATATCTATGTGATTTATGAGGCGCGTCCATTTGTATGAATGAAACACCTACAAATGAACAAATATGGAAACCAAAATTCCCAGAAGGCATTCATTCATTCTCCTGTCAGTTACTACTCCTACTATTTTTAGTAACATCGTAAATTCGTAGTAACCGACTGAGATTCAAGAGAAACCTCGTTTGAACCACAGACACTTAATTTGGTACATGATTTGGATATTTTTTTAATTATTGTTTGCACTGAATATTCAAGTTTCTATTTTTATACCACATACTGCATGCTTGCCTTACCTTGTTTCAGGAACATATATATATATCAGATATACTGTTCCCAGCTTGTTTCGATGAATTTATATCCTCCCTGAAAAAATGATTTATCCCTTCTTTAATAGCCATATGTAAATGTAAAGTATGGATAGTAAAATAAGGTTTGAACATGGAGAAGTTCAGATCATGACAATTTTGATATAATATTCCAATGGTTTCAAAACTGAAAAATTTCATTTTTTGTAAGTGTTGAAATTTTTGTTAATTGTTTTAAAACAATAGCGATCTTTGTCACATAAGATATTAGTTTTATTCACCAAATTAAGGTCCTAAGAGGACAAATAAGAGCAATACACACGCATATTGATATAAACATGTAAATATAACACGTCTAGATAATAGTCAACGACCTTTCTTACGAGGGCGTCGTAACTTACTTTTTTTTTATTTTGGTTTTGTTGTACACTCTTTAGGTGTATATTAAACGATTTGACGCCCTCGTAAGAAAGGTCGTTGACTATTATCTAGACGTATTATATGTACATGAATATATTATTATTGTTGTTATGCTAGTGTATCTAATCATATTTTATCACAACACTGTAATGTTAACACTATTCGGTATGCCGTAGTAATAATTATGACCACTGTGATTATAACTATGTATTGACAATGCAGTGACGAAAAATAAACGCAATATCATTTCACTAGACAAAGTAGCTTTATCATGTTTGCATTCGGATGCTTATACACAATTTTTGCAGCTTATATTATAACATTTCTATGACGTCTGACGTCCTTTTCTAGAAATTGCTGGTGCCGTGGGTATTTACTACATGACATTGTGGTGACGTCAGCCTATTCATTTACCGTGGATTCTTTTTCTAGAATCAACGCTTTCTAAATCTGCCGCTGAAATGGACTCACCAAATTATATCAATTGTTTTCTTTGTGTGTCTAATTTCATTAAGTTTGAATTGGCTAATCTACTGTTATGAATGATTGACATCAACACATCGACGAAACCTCTCGGCTACCAATGGGTTACAACATAGATGTCTATTTTATATATATATAAATGAACATCGGACACACAGGGGTTGTACCTTTATATATACACAATGGGCAGTCGTATAGTATAAGTTGGTAGCCGCGAGGTTAGCATGCTTAAAATCAACGAGTTAAAAGATAGGGGATTTGTTGGTTTAGGTTCGAATCCCTGTATTATCTCTGTTGTCCCAATTCTGTTTTTTTTTCTAATTTTGCATGTTATAGTGGATATTTTTGTAATAATAGCGAGTTTTACCGTTTATTTTTTGGATTATTATTGGCTATTTCACATGTTTGAAACAAAAATGTTTACATTCTATTTGTCAATTTTGTTATAAAATATGATCTCATCTGTTTTACTACATAATTTTACAAATGTTTGTTCGCAAATTCCTATGCAATAAAATCGTGATGTGCCTAGAATGCTAGAAATTTCGGTAACATACTTATTATATACACTTTATATATGCTCTTTGGTCGGGTTGTTGTCTCTTTGACACATTCCCCATTTCCATTCTCAATTTTATTAGAAATAAGTTCGAATATGTCTTATTTTGTAAAAACAGATAATATTCAGATGCCTGATAATATAAAGATCTTTAAAGGTAGAAGTGTTATATTTGTATTTTGTTAACCAAAAATTATTAATTGTGATCTGAGATTTATCAATGCATCATTGGACACGATAACATGGTTATTTAGCACATACTTACAACTTCTCGTCCAATCAAATTGCTTATATTTGCCTTCTAATTTTCATAGTACATACTTTTCCTGTGTACTAAGTAACTACGCATGAATGACCACAAGGGTAAGATTTCATTGTATCGTAATCAAGATATTTAAAACAAAAATTGCCACTGGCTATTTTGAAATAAAATGGTGTATTCCAAATTAAATTAAATAGTTTGTAATTAGTTTTCACGTTGATTTTTTAAATATCCTGCTATTAAAATCTTTGGATCTAAAATATGTTTTTGACAATTGCAAATTTTATCATTTAAATAAAGGGTAATACATATGGTTCTTTATACCTTGATTAGAGTACAACGATATCTTAAAATTATGATAATGTATCATCCATGCAATTGCTTTGTACACAGAAAAGTGTGTACTATGAAACCTTGTGAAGGATAATTAAAGCAACTTGGTGATAATTTTTTAAACTTTCTTAAGGAAGGTGATCTATTTCGTCATGAAATGATTGATTTATTGATTATTGGTTGCTTAATGTCCAGTGGCAAATATTTCATGCATGTTCAGGACGATGTCATGAATTGAAAACTGACTGTGATTATGTCTGAAGATAATGTGCCACCTATATATATATATATAAACGTATTCTGATAAATCTTTTAGTTTTACTGTGAAATTAAAAAATGTTTTCAAAACACGTTAAGCTTCCACTGCAATTTAATTATTGCCTGCTTTTGGTCAATTTATTCTGCATCTTACCATGTAAGAAGAACATGTATAGTAAAACACCGCTTTATATCAGTATACATACTTACACCAGCAGCTACCATCTTTTCATTCTGGAGTGAAGGGTCTTTTGAAATCACATATTTTACAATGATACTAGTGAGTAGATTTACAAAACTTCGTTAATGAGCTCCGTTTTACAAACACCTGTGATACAAGTAGTCAGCCAAAATAAACTATCAATAGACCAATTAAAAGATTACTCGAGTTGTAAATATGTGCTAAATTGGATAGTCTATGAAAAGGTATATACTATGAAATTAAGAGCTCGGGGCAAGCCCCTCGCTCTAAATTTCATAGTATATACCCTTCCATAGACTAACCTAGACTTAAACTCACTTTCAATACCTTCTAATTAAGAAAAGGCTTTAATTTTGAAAAGAAATTAACACAATAGTTTAAGTTATAGATACAATGGATAAGCGTAAATTCATGAAAAATCTTTTTCAAGAATCCACGCTTATCCATTGTATCTATATAACATAATACACTCAAATAGTTGGGAAGAACAGTGACAGCAGCGACATTAAAATTCCGCCAAAGCACAACCATTTAAAATAGAATTACCATGTAAAACGATAGGTTCGTGTATTATGAACTGATGGGAGGAGGTAAGTACCAAATAATATTGACATGGAAATTCAAAAGTGATCAGTCAAACTCTGTAAAGATTCGTCTGATTTCGAGTATATGAATAAGTTTAATAACACTCAATGTTACCTTAAATATATTTTTATTTTAAATATCAAATCAAGAATTCGCTTAATATACTGCTAAATTTACTAAGGGAATTTCCTTTAGATAAATCTTTTTTGACTAAACAATTGTCCTTTTTCTAGATTTTGATATTCCATTATCTAAAAAAAAAAATCATGTCAAAAGAGACGAATTTTCGTTCTCTTTTGTTAATTGTCCTTTTTGGACCGTGGTGTTCAGGGTAAGGTGACATGTCTTCCAGCGGACTGTTACCTTGTGAACTAGCACGTTAAAAATCCGACTCAGCATGTCAGTCTAGTACAAAGCAGGGTTAATAATTCATATTCAATGACAACAACATTCTCGTCCTGAATATGCATATATCATCATCATCATCTTTTGGCCCTTCTTACGGTGTATATATTTCCAAACTCGTTCGCTTTTTCCTTGTCTGTAGTGATGTTTTAGTTTTCAATGAACAAAATATATGTATCAATGGTAAATAGTAATAAGAAACGAGTTTCTGGTTATTATAATCTAAAAGAAATTATCGAACCAATGCATGTATATATACTAAACAAAGTCCTCTAGCTGTGCAAGTTTTAATTTTACGAATCCATAACGTATAATCGCCAAAAAAAATTCGTTCTTTGATTATTGATCGAAAACTTTGGCTGCTTTTAACTTTCGGCTTTTTGGTGTTTTAAAGTATTCACCTTTTTAAATTAGAAGTATCATATGACTATAAGGGATTTCGTTACAATAAATTACTTAAACCTTTTATTATTTTTTTTTATATACAAATTAGTTTTTAAGTGTGGCTTTACCTCGAATTCTTATTTAAAAAAACCGGGATAATGGTCACAGTTATGTGGTTTAAATAGTATGTAAATTTAAACATGATACATGCAAACTTATTGATTCATTGAATATCCTTTTAACACTGTCGAAAGATGTTTGAATATGGTTTTATCGGCAATGACATGGATTTTGTTTTTGATAAATTAAACATATCTAAATATGGATTGCTTTACATTTATGAAAAGTTATGGACCTTCATCCTGTTAAATTAATGTACCTATGTTAAGACATTTACGACGTCACGCTTTACGCAGACTGTTTATGACGTCTTTACACTAAATCCATTGGATGTGTACTTATGGAAACTTTAGTCTGGTAGAATATGATTTTAGTGGTTGTTATTGTCTTTTTCCAAATATCAGAAGCTGCGAGTACACTTAGATTGGTACTTTTTGTCTTTTGTCTTCATGTTAGTTTTTTTGTGTTTCCTGTCGATCTGATTAGTCAAGCCGTTTCTTTTTTTTTTGCAGGTAGTTCTTATGTTTTGCTGGAACACTATTATCCCAGGTAAGGGCAGGGTTGAAGTGTAATACCACCTTGTT